TAGCACAGGACTGATCTCCTCACAAAAAAAAAAAAAAAAAAAGAGTACAATAAACATATTTCTGCATATTTCCATTAAGCTTTTTAATTAAAATATCTTCTTGAAGTCACATGTAGTAACTGCAGAGGTAGGGTTTTTTAATCACTCTGCCTTGCAGGCAGATGTTAGGTGATTTCTGCAGGTTGTTGTGAACTTGGTATCTCAACATTGGTCTGTCTGTCTCTTTCCACTTTGGCTAAATGGATGTTGTTGTGGCTCTTGCAGATTAAATTTGAAAGGTGTGAATTCATCAGTAGGTGAAGGCTTATTATAGGCAATGAATATTAAATTCTAATCCTTTGAGGAGTTAGATCAAAGGTTAGGGAGCAGAAGATGAATACTGTATAAGAGTAAATGTAATATTGCTTACTACTTTTAAATCAGGAGACTTATTTAGCTACTGTTACTGGGAATCTGATTTAAACATCAATGCTTTGTTAGGAGAACCTTACTTAGAGCAAAAAGATTTATAGGCAGAAATTATTTCTGAAACAACTCATGTAAAAATATAGATGTGTTCCCATATCCTCACCAACCAACACTCTTTATCCTTTTACTAAGCTCCCAAAATGTATGCTAAACAGTTAAAAATAACTATGTATATAATGAAGAAATAGTAGAAGACTTCGAATAATCATTCCTGGCATGGAGGAATTATGAGGATATTGCAAGCTGTTGTACGAAGGACAGTGATCTAGGAATGTATACCTGAGACAAATGGTTAAGGCTGGTGTGGACGGAGTGCAAGAACTCTCCTTTCCCACCTTCATCAGCCTCAGTTCTGCATGGGGAGGCACAAAGTTTCAGCTGTGTTTAAAATAGTTTATTGAAGCCCCGGTTTCAGCTTCTTCTTTATTCCTCTGATTTAATAAAAGAGGAATGAAGTCGAGACAGCTGTGACTCTTAGCATTGAGTAATAGCCACAACACTCGCAGCCAGAGTAGTCTTGAAACTTACCAATGATGTAACCACTGAAAATGATGACTTACCAAAAAAGCTCATCTTTTATAAGCAAGCACTGTCCGAGCAAAATAACTTGTAAAGTGAAGACATTTGAGGCTTTCTGTGTGTAAGTTATGATGGTGGGAACGGGTGGGAGGGCAGTAGGAGGATGAGTAAGGTGTCTGCTTTCAATGTGCTTACAGTGGAATGGAGTGAAAAACAGATTTTGAGCAAAGTAAGGATAAGGTGCTGTTACTATATCAATATAACTACTTAATTTGTGGAAGCTGGTCCAGGCGGTTGTTAGACATGTAGGCCTGTGCCTGGCCTATAAATTGGCCCTACTCTTCAGCTGTCCCCTTCTGCTCCCACCATTTTGGCCTTGTGCTTGCTGGGGTTTTTTTGTTTGTTTTTTGGTGCCAGTGAGACATTGCTGGCTTGGAAGGAAGCAAAATGGGATTAGTTGTCTGGGACCCAGTGGGGAATTCCTATGGCTCAGAGGATAGGTCAGTTGTTTCCAGAACTGAAGTCCCAAGCAGGGCAGCATCCTGTGCTCTCCTTTTAGCACCCTCCTTTCTGTTCAAGAGCAGCAAAAGGTCGTTGCTCCTCTCTTCTCTAAGGATGAATGAGCTACAGGTGAGCTTTTGATGGCTCCTTTTTATCTGCCCACTGCAGCTCTGCCCTAGTAAGAAGGAGCCTATTGAGTCCGTCCAACTTCCCACAGCAGCTCTAATTGCCCACTTTTTATACTGCTTTCGTGTTTTGTACTGAATAAAGACATTGAGTTAGGAGTAAGTTAGCTGTTGAGTAGCTGGACACTTGGGGCTTAGGAATTAGTGATGGAGGGGTGGGGAGTGAATACAAACTGGTATAAGATTCAGTCCTCCTCAAATAATTATATGGGTAGACTGGATACAGAATGTACCATTATTTAATTATAATTACATAGTAATATATATGTAAATGCAGAAAGACAATACCCACTGCATCCATCAGTCCTGGTATATGTGCATGCATGGGAATTGATAATTTCCAAAGTGAGTCATATGCCTAGTCTTAAAAACTTACCAGTGAGAAACAAAAGGCTATCTCTACAAAAAATACTATTCTTTTGAAAACACTCTTTACGTTGGTTCATTCCAACAAGTAGAAGCTCAAAGATATTACTGTGAACCTGCCTATGACACAGGTTGTTTTGCTCCGTTAATTTAGCACATGAGAGTATAGGATAATAAAAGGCTGTAAAACTCAGTGTATCACTTCGGAATTTATCTTTATACCAAATGTGGGGCATGCAAG